CTTGAAAGTTCACAATACGCCACTCTCCTTTTGTGAAAGCCTGCTTTTGCTAACCAAAAGAAATCAGAAAGGATATGAAGAAGATAAAAAGTGAAACTAGCACTCAACTTTTGTTTTGCAGCAGCTGTTTTAGATGTAGCACAAACCCTGAGCGGGGAAAATTCAACCACCAAGCTTCTTCTCTGGGAACTGCTTCTTCCAGGCTATGTATTTATTGTATCATTTCTGCTGTTACTATAAGTCAGTTCTATGTTAGATTTTATGTGTTATTGGATATCATTTGCTAGGTTATTTTAGGGGCCTGGGAACACGCAAAGATTTTTTCAATGTAAATTAATGGTAATAGCCAAGCTCCATTCACACTTCACCACACCAACACCACTCCAGTGCCAATGCCCTATCCCCCACTTTCCTCAGTTCCTGTTCCTTCCTAAAGTTATAGATATATCATGCAAATGACTAACAAATTTAATTTTACAAATGAATGGTAATTCTTCTTTTTTTAATGCCATTTAGGCTTAGGAAATGTTTCATGAGAAAGCTCTACTTTCAGATAGTGGGGGAGATATGAATATAAGATTAAGCATTTGGTAAGAGGTTTTGAAGTAGATCTCTGTTACAAAGCTGGGGTTTGTCTGAGATGAAATCCTTCCTGATAAAATGGTCCACCTATAAGCAGTAAAAGGGTGCTCATGGTAGCCCAGGAAGATGTACTGATTCCTGCATCATATGTGGAATTTTTATAGCCTTTTTTGTGGATAGAAAATAGCAAAATACTTGCAGGATCTTGTCCCTTTCTTCAGAGAGCTGTAGCTAATTAGAATTTGTTTTTGTTTTGCTCCATGACCTCTCAGTAGACTCATAAGCTATTAAATGATGTTCAAGCAATTTGTTTGGGAGATAGCAATTGTTTTGCATCTACTTTGCATAAAGCATCAAAACATAGTGTTGAAATATGTTAAAGTAATTAGAGAATTTAATGCAATGGTATAATTTCCCTTAGTGGACAATGATTGTGTCTGTGTAAAATAAAATCCTGTCTCCTATTTAGTATTTCAAGATACATTAGTGATTAATTTTTAATATAGTTAGGCTCCTGTATATTTTTTTATTTTTAAACTTGGTTAAATTAGGAAAGCAAGAACGTAGCCAAGCAGGTGAAATTTAGTAAAAGTGTATGTGGAATGAAAGTGGAAATAGTTGGCATAATTTCAAGAGTTGACTGTGAATCCATTCTTGTTTTCATCTGAAATATACAAGAGAATCTCTATATACTGATTACACACATACACACAGTGAAAGGAGTCTGCTGCATAATATATATATATATGTGTGTGTAATAGATATACAGATATTTATAAATGTTATGAAAGTTAGCGGAGCTTGGTACATTAAAAAAAAAAAGATCTAGAAATCTGCTTCCTAAGGGGCTAATTAGACTTGCAAGACATAAGGGGAGCTGAAGATTAACTTCTACATCATTAAAAAATGTGGAAAATGAGTTTTTGATAATATAGTATTAATTTTAGACCTATTCAAAATAGTAAAATGAACCATAATTCACATTATTGATTTGTCAATCAATTTGAATTATAATTTAGCAGGAAGAAGAGTGTATTGGAAGTTAAAATTAATTCAGAAATTCTGCCTTGCTCAGATGAAAATCTCAGGTTGGAGTTGTAATACCTTTTTGTGACCCTCACTTGAATAAATAAATGTTAAATATAATTTGACACCAAATTTGTCCTTCAGGGGAGAGAATTCAGATTATTTTTCATTTGTAGGTGAAATCTACATGGAACTAACTGCATGGGCCACATTTTTCCTTGACTAAGGAGAAAAATGGATGACAATTACGAGGCAGAGAGACAATCAAGGAATGCTGGTGGGTGGACAAGGGGTATTGTAGAAGATGGAAAAGCACACAAAACTACAGACCCTACAACTTTGGACTCCCCCAGGTGTTACCAACACTTGTCCTGTGGATTTCCAGTGCAGATTGTTCTGGGGCCTTGAGTGCCTTCCTTAGAGATAGCTACAGGCAATCAGTGGGTGCCCAGGTGGGGTTCTAGGCAGATGATGGAAGAAGGCCCATCTGATTAATAGATTGGGGTTCTGCACTCATTTTATATGAAAAAAAGAGTCCACTGTATGGTCCAACAATGTTAAAAATCATTGTAGTGCCTCCCTGGTGGCACAAGGGGTTAAGACTCAGCCTATGAAACTGTTAGAGGCCACCGCAGCATGAGTGGATCCCTGGCCAGGGAGCTACCCACATGGCGCAGCAGACCTCTTCTGCCTTACCTGCTGCTCCCCTCAGCAGTGTATTTCATTCAGCCTAACTGTTCTACTCCCCACTCTGTCTCTGGTGAATCCTCTCAGCCCCCTCCCCCCCACACCTCTGGCCTATACCCCAGTTCTTGTATGCATAAATAAATAAATCTTAAAAAAATCATTGTAGGTGGGGTCCCCTTCTCCCTGATCCAGTGGCATCATTACAAAATTGGGCGAAGAAAAAGCTTAGGAAGGATACTAGTCTCGTGCATGCTCGCAGTTTTCAACAAAATTTGCAAGGTATCTACTAAGTACCAGCTTCATCAATATTCCAAAGTGACTAGAATGAGCCACATGGTAACCTGAAAATGAACACCAGTTTATCGCTCAGTTGGAGTGAAATGATTGGATAACAGTATGCACAAAACAACATTTTAATATGCTCAGCATGCATTCCAAATAGAATTATCAAGAGATGACAAACTTGTCTTTTCCACCCACATTATGGAACTACATTAGGGCATCTGAATGGCAAAAGTTAACCATTTGCAATTTTATTTGAAAAGAATACTCACTATGTTCCCCAAACCCTGGGGTAATAGCTGTAAGGACAGACAAAAACTGGTAGAGTAGGAACTGATGGCGTGGGCTCCAAAGAAGCAGAGGAAGAGTAAGTGCATTGCTTAGAACTGCATCCCTCGCTTGCAGAAAGAAGGCAGTGATGTCTGCATCCAGAGCTACAGCCAGTCCAGCATGGGAGCAGAACGGAGCCTGGGTCTCATAGTTGGTAAGAGTCTATACTGCTATGCTCCTGAACATTCTGATATATCCCAGTATCGTAGGGCTTGTATCCTCATGGCCAAAAATCCCAAGGCTGAACCAAGGTTCTGAAGCACCCTGTTTCTGAGAGCTCACTCAAATTTCTGACTTCAGAGCTTTCTTTTCTACTGAATGTTGAATAGAGGAATCACATTTCTCCTTATTTTCCTTGGAAATAAGCTTGTTTACTTGGAATGTTGGTAGTAGGGTGACCAACTCATCCAGGTTTACCCCTGACTGTTCTGGTTTTAGCACTGAAAGGTCTATGTCCTGGAAGCCCATTCACTCTCAGACATACTGGGATGGACAGTCATCCTAAGGAAGTAAGAATAAGAGATAGACTGGGCATTCAAGTAACAACCCCTTGCAAAAGTTAGAGACTTAAAACAAGTTTGCTTTTGTTTGCTCACCCTTCTATACTCTCAGCCAGGACAAGCTGGAACTTTCTTCTGGGGTATTGCTGATGTTTATTTGTGTGACTATCTTCCGGACACAAATGGGTTGGCAAGAAGCTGGGCTCACCTGGGATACAGGGACATCTGGGCATTGTTTCCTATACCAGTTATGTCAGAATCTCTCTTTTCTATTTGGCCTCTGCAAGATTTTTTTTTTTTAACTTTTTTTTACACAGGGGATAGCTGAACTTTTACACAGTGGTACAAAGGCTCACCACAGTGCCTGGTTCCTCAAGGCTTAGCCCTGTACTTACACTTTATCATATTGCTAAGGTGAGTTATGGTGCCATTGTAGAAGAAAGGGGAAGAGAATACCCAGGAATAAATACCAGGGGACAGTTCATTCAGGTCTACCCATGTAACAGTCAATTCCAGAGGTGCATTGCATTCAACTGGACTCACAGGATTCAGGTGCTGATTCACTTCTGATCTCTATTTGCTGGGCAACCTGCATTGCTTTTTTGACACACACACAGAGAGAACTGAGTATGAAGATTTTGACCAAAGATCAGGGCCTTCAAGACCTCTAAGTATTGCTAGGTATAGGAAAAGTTTCTCCCTATTATTCTTTCTTCCAAGAATACAGAGGACAGTGAATCCTATTAAGGTTGCTAGAAGCTTTGCAGGACGCAACAGGTTACAGGGCCTGGATCTTAGTGAGGCCACACGGCACGTTTCTGATTCTTTCATGCAACATTTCTTCGGGAGTGAGTGCTTCTGTCTGGGTCCCGCTCAGAGCAGCAATTACAGAGGTGACCAGAGCACAGCCCCTGGTTTAAAGTCGCTGCCCTCTCTCCACAAGGATGATCCTCCCCTGACCCCCCTCTCCCTGCTAAATTTTAAACAAGTGTCAGCTCTGGTCCTTCTTCCCCGACTCCAGCCTCTGCTACAGCAGTAAGCCCTGCAATGACTTTGTTTTCCAGTCGGCTTCACTCCCTGGGCTGTGAGCCCCCCGAGGGGGACAGGGCGACATCCGTTCCCGACACACAGGCAGGCTGGCGAGGGGCTGGCGAGGGGCTGGCGAGGGGCTGCTCCCGGTCGGGCCCCAGCTGGTCCTTCTGGGACTACCTTCCACGTTAGAACAGCTCCACCCCCTGGTCCCTGCACCTCCACCCTCGTGGCATCTTTTAGGTGAAGGAGTCAGGGCCCTCTCCCAACACACACCCGCCTTAACGAACCCCCAGTGCGCCGCTCGACCTCCACCCCGACCCCGCGGGGCTGTGCGGGCGACGCGCCCTCGGGCTCCCCCCCTCTCCCCTCCCCGCCGCCCGGCCGCGTCTCCGCCGGTCCCGGCGCGCCCCGCCCCGCGCTGTCGCTTTAAGCCGGTCCCCGCGGCGCGCCCCTCCCCGCCCCTCCCCGCCCCTCCTCGCCCCTCCTGGCGCTCCGCGGCCGCCCGCGCCTCCCGCTCCTCTCGGTCCTCCTCCTCCTCGCCGCCGCCGCCAGCCCCGCCGCCCGCTCCGCGCCCGCAGCCTCCGGACCCGCAGCCATGGCCGACATCAAGACCGGCATCTTCGCCAAGAACGTCCAGAAGCGACTCAACCGCGCGCAGGAAAAGGTCGGGCGCGGGCGGCGGGCAGGTGGGGCGCGGGCGGGGGCCGGGTCCGCGGGGTGCGGGGTGCGGGGGAGGCCGGCGGCGGCGGCGCGGGGCCCGGCGGGGTCGCGGTCGCGGGGACTCCCGGCCTCGGCGCGGCCGCTGCAGCGAGGCGGGAGCCGGCGCGGGGGCCGAGCGGGAGGCGGGGGCGCGGGGGCTGCGGACGCGCTCCCCGGAGGCGCGGGGTCTGCGCGGCTCGCCCGCCCCTGCGCCCCTGCGCCCCTGCGCCCCGCGGCCCTGCGCCCCTGCGCCCCTGCGCCCCTGCGCCCCGCGCCCCGCGCGCTGCCGCCGTCCCCGGCCGGCGTCGGGCTGGAGCGACCGCAGGTGCGGCGGGTCCGCGGCTCCGGGCGGGCGGCTTCTCCCTCCCGCGCCGCCCGGGGCTGGTGGGATGCGGCCCGCGGGCCGGGCGGGAGGTTGCGGCAGCTGCCCTTCCTCTGGGGGTTTCTTGGGTGCTTGACTGCCGCAGAAACGACCAATTTAGCACAGACGCCACCCCACAGATCTCGGCATCGGTAGGGCCGATCGGAAAAACCCGAAGACTTTAATACAGTGCTGTGGAGTGAACCCTAGAGTTCCAAATAGATGTAGATGCACACTTTATCATATTCTCTCTCTCTCTCTGTTTCTCTCTCCCTTTTCACGCCAGTGTCCTTCTCTGGAAGGTCAAAAAAATATATATATGACCCGACCTTAACAGTTTTTCTTTGCACATTTCCTCACAAAGGAGGGCATTCTAGTGCATTAAAAAAAATTCATAATTTATGCCTTGGGCTTCGGTTTCCTGCTGTTTTACAAGCCCTTTAATAAAGTGGTTTTAATGATCAATTTTTCTCACCCAGGATGGTGAACAAACGAGTCTAGGTCCATACGAAGCCCAGCCCCTAGCAGTTGGAGAGGTGTTGTACCAGGCACTGGGCTTGCCTGGCTTCCCAGTCGGGGGCTGGTCATGGAGACCTTGCCAGCACTGAGGTCTTCATATGTGTGCCCAGCGAAGGACATTCCTGTGGTAGCTTGAGGATTGTACCTGAAAATGACCAGCGGCTAGTAAATCTTGTATCAGTTGAACTATGTTATTTCACATGGCAGTATTTTTCATCCCTGGCATACTAGGTGTTGAGAGTTTTTCCTGTTTTACTGGAAGTCAGATTTGCTGAGTTGTTTACTATGACAGTGAATTTCCCTCTTCAGCCCCAGGCTCAGGCTGCCGCTGGTTCTTGCTCACCCCAGGTCCAGGGGCTCCTTTGCTGCCTCTAGTCCCCTCCTCCACACAGGCCCGCTCTCAATGCAGTAAGAGGATTGTATTTCTTTTAATATCTACCCAAGCTTATCCTGAACTAAAGTGATCCTCTCCCTGCTCCTGCTTCTTCAGCAGTTGAATTAGTAAGGCTCCTGCCCTCTTTCCAGTCCCTGGTTACTTGTTCAGAAAGTAGCCAGGATCTGCTGGGACCTGGTCAAGGTTTTCTCATATTTTTTTTTACCCCACTGTAGTTTTCCCCCATCCTTTCTGCCTTTCTGAGTAATTATTTGAATCTTTGGTCTGAAGCTTTCATTGAATCTACTTTCTGTGAAGTAACTTAGTGATATAGTCTGTCTTTTCATGTATGAAATTATTTCCTAATCTAGGTCACCAGCTGTTAATATGCCAAAAATAAATGAAAAGAAAATGTAACCTGTATTGCACAGCATTCAAGCCCTTGTAAATTGTTGAGAACTCACTTTTTCATTATGAAGGCTAAGTGTGCATCATGATTGCAGCTGTGGATACCAGACAAGGCTCAGAGTGCCTTGTGCCGGACTTCCAGGGTCCCATCTTCTTTCCTGGGGAAAGTTGCTGGTGAAAAATGCCTGTTGCACCTTGGTTAAGAAACCAAGATGCTGCGAGTATGGCTTTTGTCCCTGTTTAAGTTGTGCCCCATTCCTAAGCCTGTGCAGCTGTAAGGGAAGTGGGCATGTGGGAATACAGGAAAGTAAGGCCTTTCAAACACAAACAAGTTGCTGGAGATTGGAAAGCACTGTAGGTTGCTGTTGTTGGCTAGGTAGATGTCCCCATCAAAGATTCCTTCTATTTGCATCTTCATTCTCTTCTTCTCCAGTGCAAAATGCTCCATCGCAATAACTATAATTTGTGTTCTTGAGGTCCTTTGGGCCTTGTTTTTAAACCATCTTTCTCAGCAGAAACCCATTACCTTGGCTTTTTTTTATCATCTGTGGCTCCACCTAACAGTTTGCATGCATTTTGGCTTCAAATGCACGATACTACTCTTAAAGTTGACATGGCTTTTGATGAATTTAGAATACATTTTTTTCCTTATTGAAAGTCCATGAAGGTTTATTGGTGAAGGACTGAAATATATGTCTATAGATATTTATGCTATGTCTCTTTATATATATATATGTGTGTGTCTATATATAGAGAAATGTTTCTTAAAAGAAAACTCAGCAGCAAATTAGGACACTCAGAATTCTACCACCTAGAGATTTCACTATCATTTGCTGTATATTCAAATAGATCCTTTTTCATATGTATAGGTATATATCATATGACTAAAATAGGCTCATACTATATGATTCTGTAATCTGTTTCCTTTAACAATTATGAACATTCTTCAATATATGTACATATTTTCCATCAACATTTGAGATGATTAAACAGTATTGGAATATATGGATCCTCTATTTTTTGGACATTCATTTTCCAACATTTGTATATAAGTACAAATCAGTGAGAAAACCTGTAGGGAAAATGTTTGCACATACCTTTTAGCATTTACTTAGATAAATTCTTAGAAGAATTGTTATGTAAAAGTATGCTTATTTTTATGATAGCTAAATTGCTTTTCAGAGAAGTTGTATCAATTTACATTCTCTCCATAAGACACTCACCAGGGCCTCCCTGGTGGTGCAGCAGGTTAAGATGCAACCTATGAAGCTCTTTGCAGCCTCTGCAGCATGAGTTTGATCCCCCACCAGGGAGCTACTCACATGGCGCAGCAGACCTCTCCTGACTCACCCGCTGCTCCCCTCAGTGTATTTCAGTAGATCTGCCCCTTCTGTTCCCCACTCTGTCTCTGGTGAATCCTCTCACCCCCCCCACCTCTGGCCTGTACCCCAGCTCTTGTATGCATAAATAAATAAATCTTAAAAAAAATTAACAAAAAGACACCAACACTAGATGATACAATTCAGAAGTCTTTAGTTATGTCATTGGAAAAAATTAGTTCCTACTTCACTTGTTTGATTTTTAAAACTGAACATTATTATTTATATTCTTATATATATATATTTTAAGATTTATTTATTTATTAATTTATACAAGCACAGGGTACAGTCAGAAGCGCAAGAAGGTGAGAGGATTCACCAGAGCCAGAGCAGGGAACAGAACAGGCAGACTGATGAAATATACTGCTGAGGGGAGCAGCAGGCGCTGCAGGAGAGGTCTGCGCGCCATGTGGAATCCTCGCCAGAGGCCAGGGATCAAATTGGCGCTGCAGAGGCTGGGGGCAGCTTCACAGCCCAGTGCTCAACCGCTGTGCCACCAGGGGAGGCCCTATTCTTATATTTTTATGTGCAAAATTTGTTTATAATATTGCCTATTTTGTGTAGCTTTTCCACCTCGTTATTTGTAAGGACAAAAAACTTTACCAATCCTAAAGGCTGCCAATATTCTTTCCTGTTTACTTTAATCTTTAAACTTTTTTTTCCTACATAGAGAATGTTTATGTTTATACTCTGCATGTGTTTTATGTGTATTTTCTTGTTCTGTTTTTGTATGGTTTTTCTTTTGGGTGTTGAATTAGTCAGATCCTGTCACTTGTGAGAATTAGAAAACTCCATTCAAACTGACTTAAGGAAAAAGAAGAATTTAACTGCTAAAAATAAAAATATGGATCTTGCAGTATAAATTTGAATGAGATTTTAATACATGAATATATGTGCCTATATTAGATATATGTATACATATTTAAATATATGCATGTATGTGTTATATTAACTCACTTGATTTCACGAGCTAGCAACTACTACTATTCCCAGTTTATAGAAGGGAAAGAGATGAAGTGATATGCCCAATATCACATAGTAAGTAGGGAAGCTGAAGTTTGAATCCAGTGCTTCCCCATTACAAGATACTGCCTTTTATAATTATGTAAAGAAAGGGTAGGGATATACAGCTTCAGCCTGTATGGAGCCAGGAGCTCAATCACAGCTTTCAGGGCCTTCTCCCCATCTCTCATCTCTGCTTTCTATCCTGTTAAACCCATTTGTAGACAGGTTCTTTCTTGGTGGTAAGATGGTTGCCAGCAGCTGTAAGCAAGAGATGTCTTTCCTTAAACATTTACGGAGATGTCCTCAGGATAGTCCTCATTGGCTCAAATTGGGCCTTGTGCCTATCCCTGGAAGAAAATATTTCTTTGGCCAAAGGCCAGGAAAATGAATTGGATTGGGCTGAGTCACAAGCTTCTACTGAAGTGGGATGGAAAAATTCCCGGTGGACCATATGGACTGATGGTGAAGGAAAAAAGAGTATCAGAGAACAAAAGGGGAAATGGACGCTGGTCTGGCAAAATGAAAGGTGTCTACTGAGACACAGTTAAGATACCTTCTCCGTCCTGTATTTATATAAGTGATCTCATAGTTAATAGTGATGTATTATTTAATATTTGTTTGAAAATTTCCCATAAAATTAATATATACAGTTTAAAAACCAAATATTAGTAAAAGACTTTTACTAATAAAAATAGTAGGTACCACACCATCCTCTCCTCAAACTCCAGTCTTGTTTTCCAGAGGCAGCTATGACAGCCATAAAATATCTCAAAACTATGCTTAGGCAGCTAATTCTTGATCTGTTCTTTCTTTTTGGTGAAGATAGGCAAGGATGTTGCTCTTTTACATTTTTCCCTCTACTTGCGCATTCCCTAATATAACAAAGTTTGTTATCACTAAGGATTATATTTTAAAATATT